TTCTTTACATTATTCTTAAAACTTGAACTTTTGTACGGCCATCTATTTAAGCGAGTCTATTCAAGTTTTATTCACTCACAATTTCAAACTCGTTCACATAAATATTCAACCTTACCTCCTTTGCGAAACTACAATGCGTCAAGAATTCTAATATGCATCTCGCTCGCGATTAAAACCAAGTCACAGTCGGTTTCTTTAAAACTCGGCGACAGTTTGCATGCGATTGAATAAAGGGAAGCCGAAACTTTGTATTCCACTCGGCCCTTATTCTTACAGGACGAAGACCATTGCATATAAAATTCCGCAACCACTTCCACGTCATCACAGTCTTTAACAGATCATACCCACCCCCTGCAGATTGTCTTCAAGCTGTTTCCATGCTTTTGCATGCCCGACGAAAATCCGCGGATTTTTGTTTGTCACGTGGCCAGTTTAAATGATGTCGTTACATATACTTAGCTGGTAGTTTATTGTACTCCTTATGTCGCGGTCGAACGGTTCTCGAAGAATTCGTGGAGTTGGGCGACCACAAAGATTATTGCACCGAAAGTTTGCTACTTAAATTGGGTGGCAATGCAGAATTATTTTTCCTTACCATCGCGTGTGGAACTGTACATGTATTCGCATTTTTATTCTTTCAGCTACATCGTGAGCGCGATCGGCTCGTTTCGTGCCGTTAGACTTTTTGAAAAATGGGGATTAAACGGATCCAAAGGTGTGTGCTGGATTCTCGAGCTTGTTAACGAGTCAAGTTCTGTAGTCGACATTCCTTATCGCTTTCAGAGTTTGGCGATATTAATAGCATGTAAGAGCAGCTGGAAGATAATCACTTTTTTCTGTTTGTGATTATATTAGAGAATTACGTAATTAATATTACGTGTGCTAACCATGTAACATTATTATAGGTACTTAAAATAAAATAACATTAATACAATATTAAAGTCTTACTTATTCATAGCAAAGTACAGAAAGTATAATGTAGTATGAATTAAGATTGTGTTTGACTTTAAGCTCTTACTTCAATCTA